GTCTACTCCTCTTTTATAAAAGATGACTCCCTTCATGAAGACCCTACTCTCATGACCTATCTAACCCCAGTGACCTCCCAAAAGCCCCACCTCCAAATACCACCACCTCGCGGGCTAGGGTTTCAAGATGTTGATTTGAAGCAACACAAACATTCAGTCCACAGCAGTTGGGAGATATGTATTCAGAGCAGCGAAAACACAGGATGCTCAAAATTCAAGAGGCCGGAGAGATCAAGGCTCATTCTCGGAACTAACCGAGATTTTGTACAGCTGAATTTTAAAGTGTGAGAGAAAAGGAAGTGGAAAGAAGCTTGGGCAGTAAAAAGGAGGGGAGGAACATGGGGTTTATCCTAAGATCAAAGGTCTGCATCCTTAAAGTGGAGAAATGCCATAATTAGATTTGAGGGGTAAAAACATTATCCTGTTAATATAATTTGGTGCAGTCATGATGGAAAAACGGTAAGGAGATTCCTTAAAAAACTGAAAACAGAGTTACCATATGATCCAATAATCCCACTCCTGGGCATGTATCCAGAGGAAACTCTAATTTGAAAAAATACATGCACTCTAATGTTCTCAGCAGCACTATTTACAATAGCCAAGACATGGAAGCAACCTAAATGTCCATCGACAGATGACTGGATAAAGCAGCTGTGGTATATTTACACAATGGAATACTACTCAGCCATAAAAAAGACTAAAATAATGTCATTTGCAGCAACAAGGATGAACCTGGAGATTGTCATTCTAAGTGAAGTCATCCAGAAAGAAAAAGAAAAATATCATATGATATCACTCACATATGAAATCTAAAAGAAAAAAAAAAGACAAATGAACTTATTTACAAAACAGAAACAGACTCACAGACATAGAAAACAAACTTATGGTTACCAGGAGGGGAAAGGAGGGAAAGGGATAAATTAGGAGTTTGGGACTAACAGATACAAACTACTGTATATAAAATAGATAAACAACAAGGACCTACTATATAGCACAGGGAACTATATTCAACATCTTGTAGTAACCTATAATGGAAAAGAATGTATGTATACATATATAACTGAATCACTATGCTGTACACCAGAAACTAACACAACACTGGAAATCAGCTATACTTCAATTTAAAAAAGAATCACTATCCTGTTAGCTGGGTGGGAACATGCTGGGAACAGTGAATTCATGAACATAAGTCCAGAGTTGGAGAGCTGGCAGAACTGAGGACTCTGGCAAAAATTACTTTTTGCTTTGATGTGCTCAAAAGATACACTGTCAACAAAGGACATCTGAGGATGTCAGGCTCTGAACTGTTCAGTGAGTCTCCCATCTCTTCATTGTAAATCTCCCTCGTTGGTGGCATGGTTGTCAGCTATCTGTCCACAGGAAGATCCTGCCAGGCCTTGGGATGTACCACACAGGGGTTTACCAAACTTCAAATTTCCCAATCACAACTACCTTCTACTGTAGCAGAATTAACTTTTTTAAAAAACCATTAACAAACTCTGTTACCCAGATTTAGCATCTGCATTTGAAGTAGAATTCCTGAAAGAGCCACCTGAACATCCTGAAAAATTGCCTCACAAATCATACAGTCATGATCAGGAGATCAGGCATCACACGGGGTAACGCACTGCAGCTCTGAAGTAAGCTGTGCTCAGCACCTGCTGTATAATGTATGGGAGGCTCTGAGCGGAGCAGTTTGGACTGGAGCCCATCGCTAATGTGGAGACCAGTCCCAAGGCTGCCGAAGTGAGGGTGTGCTCTCAACTCACGCACAGTGATAGGAATAAAACTGGAAAAAGCTGACAGATTCAATAGATATTTGCCAGACAGAACTTGGCTAATAACCTGGATATAGGGGAAGACAGATTTCTAAGAAATATTCTTTGATTTATTTTTTATTGAAGTATGACTGATTTCCAGTGTTGTGTTACTTTGAGGGGTACAGCATAGTGATTCAGTTACACACACATAGATTCTTCTTTATATTCTTTTTCATTATAGGTTGTTACAAGCTATTGAAAATATTTCCCTGTGCTATACAGTAGGTCTTTGTTGTTTATCTATTTTATATTCAGTAGTTTGTAGCTGTTAATCCCAAGCTCCTAATTTATCCTTCCCCCATATTTACCCTTCAGTAACCTTAAGTTTGTTTTCTGTGTCTGTGTTTCCATGTCTTGGCTATTATAAATAGTGCTGCTATGAACACTGAGGTGCATGTATCTTTTCAAATTAAAGTTTCCTCTGGACATATGCCCAGGAGTGGGATTGCTGGATCATAGGGTTAGTCTATTTTTAGTTTTTTAAGGAACCTCCATACTGTTTTCCATAGTGGCTGCACCAAACTACATTCCCACCAACAGTGTAGGCAGGTTTCCTTTTCTCAACACCCTCTCTAACATTTATCATTTGTAGACAATTTAATGATGGCCACTCTGATAGTGTAAGGTTATACCTTATTGTAGATTTGATTTGCATTTCTCTAATAATTTGCGATGTTGAGCATCTTTTCATGTGCCTGTTGGCCATCTAGATGTTTTCTTTGCAGAAATGTCTACTTAGGTCTTCTGCCTATTTTTTGATTGGGTAGCTTGGGTTTTTTGGGGCTTTTTTTGATATTGAGCTGTATGAGCTACTTGTTTATTCTCAAAGTTAAGCCTTTGTCAGGTGCATTGTTTGCAGATATTTTTCTCCCAGTCCAAAGGTTGTCTTTTTGTTGTGTTTAGGGCCTCCTTTGCTGTGCAAAAGCTTGTAAGCTTAATTAGATCCCATTTGTTTATTTTTGCTTTTATCTCCATTGCCTTGGGAGACTGACCTAGAAAAAATATTGCTATGATTTATGTCAGAGAATGTTTAGCCTATTCTGTTCTAGGAGATTTATGGTGTCCTGTCTTATGTTAAGAGTTCAAGCCATTCTGAGTTTATTTTTGTGTATAGTGTGAGGGAGTGTTCTAACTTCATTTACATGCGACTGTCCAGTTTTCCCAACACCCACCTCCAACACCCTGTGACATATAACACTATTGGTTTCAGGTGTACAATATAATGATTTGATAACTGTATACAATACAGAATGATCGCCACAGTAAGTCTAGTAAACATCCATCACCACATAGAGTTAGAAATCTCTTTTTTGTTGTGATAAGACCCTTAAACATCTTTTTCAAGAACTTTTAGGAAGCTTTTCTTTTCATCAAGACTTGGCTATCAATGAAATCAGCTAAAATCTCACAGTCTCTCTTGTGTTTCTGAAAGATGTTCATGAATTCCAAAGTCTGTCAGTGTCCTTAGTAGCACAACATTTCCCCAGTGAAGAAAATAAACCCAACATGGCAGGTGGGGAGCAACGTAAGGGAGGAAGGGACGTCCGTTTCCCTCACCCTCTACATCTTTCAGCTTCTGCTTTGCTGCTGGAGCCTCCCATCCTCTGACCACCCAGGGTCTGTCACTCACCTGGGGGCCCTGAGCTGCTCCCCAGCCTTCCCGTCTTAGAGAATCCTGGACTCCTGTGTTCTCACACGTGTTCAAAGTCAATTCTCTCTTCAGCCAGCTGCCAGGTGGGAAGGGGGGCTCACGTCAGTTCCAC